CCACAGCTGAAGGTTACAATTGTCAGGAATCAGAAGTTATTGATTCTACAAAGCCTTGCGAGAAAGTGGCTAGAATATGAGTCGACTCAAGAAATGGCTTCTGACGTCATTGCCAAGCACAATGCTGCTTTTTGTCCTGGGGAAGCTTCTGATCTACTTGAAGATGATGAAAGGACGGACTTGTTTGGCACAATAAACTTTTGAATGAACAAATCATGAATTGTTGTGTTCTATTGTTCTATGTCTTCTATTGACACAGGCCGGCAGATGATACAGAAACTCGCCCTGCGAAGAAGATCAAAATTTCATCGGAGGAAACCTGTGGAGAGGACCAGATTTCGTCTTTGGCCAAGCCGTGCCTAGATTAGATTGGTGATGAAATGGTGATGAAAACTTTCAAAAAAGCACAAAACCACATCGCAACATGTTATAACTTGTTCCTTGTCTTCAAAAAACTAAGGACCAAGTTGAGTATCAATGGTGCAGCAGACCTCATCACTGATGAAGGTGGTGATTGCTTGTTCCTTGCATCGCGGGCTCACAACACTTTCACAGCCTTCAGGGAGATGCTCTTTGATTGCAACCCAAAGTTTGTTGCTGTGGTTTGACTACATTCAAAGCAAATTTCAGGTTTTCGTTTGGCAGTGGAGAGTGGCGAAATGGATCAGACTCTTGTTCAGCCTTGGAGCACAGTACAATATGGTGGTCGGGTGCACTGAGTTTCTGATTCCTTCCTTCCAAGCTAAGGAGGCACAGGAGGTCTTGTCAGACCCGGCTGGCCGATGGTTTCTCTTTAAGATGGAGCTCGAATCTACAATCTTGCTGGAGAAGAAGGACCTTGGGACACATTTACAAGGCTTGGGGTGCCTCAATGGCCCAACCTCCATTGCTGATGTCATCCGCCAGCTTGAAGATGCAGGGGAGGCAAGGCAACTCAAACCAGTATGAAAAGCAGCAATTATATATATATAATTTAATATAGATATATTATATATGGTTGGACGTGGTCGGACATGGTCCAATGTAGCTTGAGTAGGGAAGTTGCCCCTAGGTACAGCTTTCCGTGTCCCACCATGACCTGAGCTCTGACCGTACACAACTCGTTCCGTCTACCAACAAACCCTTGCTTTTTCTCCTGGACAGCCCCAATGAAGATGAGTCACTTGGAGCAGTTTATCAAAGATCTTCTTGGATAATTTAGGACATATAAACCTATGAAGAACTAACAGGAACATGGGCAGCACACCAATTTGGAAATCCTCTTGCAGGCTCTTGCATTTTTAGCTACCAAAATAAGAACGGCGGGCGAGCCAACAAATGATCAACCCAGGAAAAAGAGGAAGAAAGGCAAGAAGGCAAAGAAGAACAAGGATGGTGCTGGTGTCACCATGGCTTCATTTGGCAACATATTGAACATCAACAAGTTCAAGCAGAATGACAAGTTCACGATTGGTTTCCGATGCAGGAATCTGGCTCAATTGAATGTTTACATTGGGCTGTTTGAATTCTGAGGTTGCTTCTCTTTTTGCAGATATGCTTGCAAACACCTACCTTTTTTGCAGATATGCTTGATTTTTGCAAGTTGAAAGAACCTACCTTTCTTGACAGTGTTGAACCCTCTCGACTGAAGGCTGGACACATCTTCGGACGGAAGTACAAAAGTCATTACACCAGTGAGGCCAATTGCCTGCCTGAATGGCATGCTGGATCTTCACCAAACAATCATCCGCTTGATGTAAGCCCATGCATCACTGCGAGTTAGCTGCTTTAGGTTTTGGACAGATCATCTTATCTCCGCTTTGTCCTCCTTGGGGTGGATGTATACAAAAAGAGACTACAACACAACAAAACTACAAGCAGGACAGGACTCCAAGAATATAAAGTCTCTCATGTAAACAAATTGTTGATCTTACAAAGTTAGAACTTTCAAGGATGGACTGCAACCTTAGCACCCCTGGAGACATCTGGAGATTGGGGGGGGGGTTCCAGTTCTGAAGAACTGGGCACAAAACGTGCTGCACACGTCATTTGCTCTTTTGCTCAGTTTGTGAAAAGGAATGGTATGTCTTGCTTGCATGTCATCCGGTCTTTCCTTGAGTTTGTTTCACTCGTCATTACAGCATGTTATTGCAGTGTTTTGCATATGGCAAATTGCTCAGAAGGTCAAACCGATCAGCAGGGTGCTTAGCTTAAGGGGATTCGAGGATGGCTCGGGCTAAGCGCGATCGAAGTCCTTCAGAGGAAAGCTGTGAAATTATGAATGTGCCACCTGCTTTTGGCATTCCAGTTGCTTGAGATGAATGAGAAACAATGATTCCTGCATTCCAGTGCACAAGAAAAACAACCGGTATCTTACATTATTTTACCAGAAAATGTGTTTTGCTGCTGTCACAAACCAGCTTTATGCAATCAACCTTTGACACCTGAGGCTTTCAGCCTAGCTGAAGTGATGCGTGATGCTTCATCTACTCGGAGTGCACCACCTTCAGCACGGCCACCATTGAAACCAACTCCGAAGGGTGCTCCAGGGCCTAGTGGGGGTGCTAGCAGCTTGGTTGAGGTATTGGGAAGCCAAACCTGATGGTGTGTGTATTTTTTCCAAAGCATATGTCAGGAGTTGTTTTTTGCAACACATACGCAGCAGCTTTAATTTTCACTTGAGGTGCCAAGGCTTCCTCTTCGAGTGGACCCTCCCCACTTGATCATGTGCTACCACCAAGATACTCAGAATCTCAATCTCCAGAAGATTCCTCTTCCCAGCAAGAGGCAAAGAAAAGCAAAAAGAAGAAGGAGGGAGAAGATAAGAAGAAAACAAAGAAGGGGAAACCTGCGGATCAAGAAGAAGAAGAAGATGAAGAGACGCAGCATGATTTTCTTGCCTTGGGAAAAGGTCGCAAGGATGACGATGAAGAAAACGATGATGATGTGTTGGATGGCATGAATTCTTTACTTCAACTCGGTGGGGACAAGCTGAAAAAACGACCAGCTGGTGGCAAGACGACTAGGGGTAGGCCAATCAAACGGCCCGCTGGGAATGACGCAAAGAAACATGAGGACAGGGTTTGGTTCAGTCTATGTACAGGCCCACATTGTGCCTTTTTATACAGCCCTTGTCTAAATCCTGTGAACATTCACGAACCTTTTGCAGGACCAGGGGCTGAGTGGATTGGATGGATCTGGGGACACACAGCTGGATTATACACCGGATCTTGCTCCTGCTGATGAAGAGAACCTGTATTGCAATGTGACACACACACACACACATGTTTGATAAGGGCACATCAACACTGTTTGGACGATCCAAGGATGCTTTTTGACTTATACAAGCTGAATGTCATTGAGGGAGATCAGGCTCAGGAACATCCACTTTGGACGCCGCCGCCTACAAAGTTCACAGAAACCCCAGACAATCAGCTAGGCCTTTTCAGCTCTGAGACCAAAGTTTCTTCGCCATTGCTAGTGACTGAAGAAGTACAGGACTGGGTCAGCCTTGTCAAACACTGACCAAATATAAAAAGGTACAAAGACAGAAAACATATTGGAGGAATTACTAAGAGTAGACAGAAACAAGAAACACTGATTGGAGGAGCAAAGGAAACGACTACGACGCAGCCTATGCTTTTCTCCCAGCATATTGAACAGCCTCGAGGAGCCATGCAAAACATTGCAATAGACTACATGTTTTTTTGCTCAGTCAGGCTTCTGGCATGTTCAATGTTGATTCTTGAGTTCTGGCAGCCATTCCTGTAAACCAGGAACAAGGTGTCGCTCCACACAGTGGGATTGCTTCAAGTGTGCCTGCTGGGCCTGCATCAAATGAACGTGAACCCCCTGATGATGTACGCCCCATTCCTGCAGAACCCCACAAGCAGGGTGGAAACAACAAGGAGGATGGTGCAGAAGTGCTTGATGATGGGTATGGCTCTGGTGAAGCCCAAGAGGCAAAGTCAAATGGACACCCAGGAGATGCACCCCAGGTAGACCCTGACCTCTTGTGTCCAGCCCTACCAGAAAATGTGCTCACGGACCCTGTGCCTCCTCATCCGGGCCCTTCAACCCCTGGTGTCTTGCAGGTCGCCACCCCAATGCCCAACGCCTCACAAGTGGCAAAGGAGAAGAAAGACAAAGCACTGGCAAAGGCACCCTGCAAACCAAAGACATCCCCCAAAGCAAAGGCATCCGCCAAAGCAAAGGCATCCCCCAAAGCAAAGGCATCCCCCAAAGCAAAGGCAAAAACAGCTCCAAGAATGAAAGGACGTGGACAACCAAAGCCCCATGCAAAGGCAAGCCCAAAAGGGAAAGCCAAAGCCAAAGGTCGCCCTTCCCCAAAGAAGCGTGCCCGCCAAATGGATGAAGTCGAGAAGAAGTTGCATTCGGCACCAAGAATTGCATATGAATGTTACGCTGTCCATATCATGTTTGCTCAATGATAATGATATCCCAAAAGGCTGTGGGGACCTGACAAGTATGTGACAACACTAAGGTATACAGTGCTGCATGGCATGAAGCAAAGAAGAATGGCCTATCAGGGGTTGAAGCACAGCAGTTTGGCAACTTTGAGCGAAAGAAGCTCCCCGGCAGCAAGTAGTTGACCTACATTAACTTGTTTGAATTACCTTTAGCTGTGTGTGTGTGTCTTTTTGCTGCATCGTAGTTTAAATGATGCTTGGTGTTATTTTGCATCTCACAACTGTGTGAGGTGGGCTAAAGAGCATGGTCCAGCATCTCACCATGCTGTTCAAAAGTGGCTGAATGCCACAAGCTGATTTACTGGCACAAGATCAGTGAAACAACATGATGAAGCGAATATGATGATTTTGGGAAAAAGACTATGCAGAGCGCCAACACTTACTTTGAACCATGCCATGCCAAAGGGCCAGTTTCAAAGGGGAAAAGTCTCACTTAGAGAGGGACTTCCCTGATGATAATTACTGTATAGTATAATAATATCGTCCTCTGTACTCAACGGCAGCACCTCCCAGTGACTTCTGCGTTTTCGCCTGGTCTGGGGATCATTCCGCTGGCACCGAAAAAGAGCCGCAACAGCCGACCTGGGAGCCACGTGGCGCGTGGCGCGTGAAGGTGGCGCGCGACGCCGGTATCGAGCCGACGCGCGCGGATAGCATATGGGGCCGACTTTGGCAAAGGGCACATGTGGTTCGAGGAAGATCCAACTTGGCCATGGCCATCCGTATCCTGGGTATTTTGGTTGATGTTTTCTTGAATCAGAACAGGTGTGAGAGTGAAACCGGTCCTGTGGCTTCGAAAAGCATGACATCAAACAGGCGCGTCAGGCACCTCATGCAACTGTGGTGGGCAAGCAGGACACGAAGGACGCGAGGGGGGGGGGTTTCTTTGTCTCCTTCCGGCACCTTCTGACAAATGATGTTCACCCCTGACGCGAGTGTCATGAACTGAACCCGGCCAATATCTTAATCCGTTTCAATGAACATCTGGACCCATCCCAATTTAAAATGGTCTCTTTTCGTATGCCAGATCCACCTCGCCAAACGCCAGAAGGAGAACCGACCAGTCAACGCTCGTCGGAGTCGCGCACGGCACGGCCGGCCCCGACGGACTTCGTTTTCGCCGCCGGCGCCGCCGCTGATCGCCGACGGGACTCTCAGCGACTCTCAAGCTCCAAGGACGGGTGGCACCGGGAAGCGTGGGGGCACTGAGCAAAGTGGTTGGAAGATGTAGTACAGCACTCAAACCATCACTTCATCGTACGATCTTGCAAGCAATGAGCATTCACCCATATTCACCCTCAATTCACCGTTCCACTCACCGTTCCGCTTGCGGCTGCTCTTCTCGCACCCCCGTGGCTCTTCTCGCTCCTTGGCCACCGCGAAACGCGCCCTGGACCTTGCACCGTGAACTCACTCGATGTGGCTCGCTCGAGCGGCGAAAGCGAAAAGCGGAGTTCGAAGAATCGGTTTTTGCTTCCGTGGCCAAGCGAGCTCGCTCAACGGGTATACGAACATCAGCTTCTAGTACTCGAGATGCAAAGATTGGATTCGTATCCGGGACAAAAAAATGGAGCTTTGAACCTGGATAGATATAACGTACCTCGCACTAAACGGATCAATGAATCAACGACACTTCTGGCACATGGTTTTGCACCCTTTTAGTCCCATCATACGGCCCGTTCACATTCTTTCCTCGCTTCCACCTTGTGGCAATTCCGGAGGCCACCCAGATTGGGTTTTCCGAGGGGCTCCAGCTCCCTCAGCTCTTTGAAGCAAAACATGCTTTTGTGAACTTGTCCTTGAACTTCGCATCCAACTCAGGAGAGCTGCCCCACGGGAAACCTCTTTTTCAACGCCCAATGAGGGCTCTTCATCGAGAAATGATCGAGAATTGATCCGTGCGGAAGCGGCCCCTCCGCTGGCGAGTTTCTCTAAAGATCAAAGTTGGGTGCTCTGAAGATTGCATTTACCCCATTACTCATTACCATGTGCAGTGGGGGATCAAAACACAGTCTATTAACAAAAATAGGGCCGGAATGGGGCAGAGTAGATTGAATCACAGGGCATACAGCATGATCGTGAACGGATAGATCAAAGGGTCAAACAAACATGGCCACACGCCTTCTTCCACGCCAAGGGGCATGCAGGCTAAAAATAAGCTGAGCAAGAACAAAGTAAACAAGTGCAAAAATGAACACCTGGAGTTCCAAAAGGTGTTAGGATTGTTCCACATGTTTTCTGGCGCAGAACGGCCCCTTTCTTCGTTACTCTCCAAGTGCACCCAACGTCCATGGAACATCCCCATCAAACAAAAACGTCCTTCAAGATGGTCCATGTCAACGATCCGTTTCGCCAGCGGTGGGCACTCGCACTGTGAGCTGAACATTGGTCAACCTCGCCCAAGGAAGGGCTGGAAAATCATCCGCCCAAACGGTCCATGTATGAAACTTGGTTGAACGATGTTGAACGCGTGATAACGGGATCGATGTGAGAATTGGTGCAAGCCTGGTTCTTCCAAATGACCTTGTGATCTTCCAGTGAAAGGTCACTTGGGCCCGTTAAAATCAAACACATTGAAGAAACTGGAGATGAGACTTCTGGAGCGAACTGAGCAAACATGCCGACATCGTCTTTTTTTCTCCAAGGCTGGGATTCTTTTAATGTAGGGATCCAAGTACCACCTCAAAAGGTACTTGGACCTTCCAAACCCACCCCAAACACCTTCTCAAAGGGTACTTGGATCCTTAGCTTTAGATTCTGTTTTGCGTGTCTGTGTGGTTTCGTCATGTTTCGACCTGGGGTGGTTGGGCCGAGCCTCAGTCGTCGTCGTCGCCTGAGAAAGCGGCCAATCCGGTCGGCTCATCAATAAAATAGTAAGGGGAGTAGTATGGGGGTACAGTAGATGTAAAAGCAACAGCAGGAGGAGGAGTAGTAGCACCAGCAGCAGCAGTGTAGTAGACTGTAGTAGCGTAGGTGATTCAATCCATGTTGGGTCAAACTGAGTATAAGTCAATCAATCTTTAGCACGTTTGACCGGAATGGTCAACTACCTCTGGCAAATACCTACAAACTACAACAGGTTTTTCATCTGCTTAGGGTTTGGCCCACAACGATATTGGCGATAGAACGAAGAAAAAGAAAAAGTGAGTGAGAGGGAGATATAAAACAAACAATATAGACACATGGTCAGTCTATGATCCCCACCTTAAGGGGCGATTTGGAAGAAAACAGGGCGCATTTCATGACCTATCCTGACACCTGGTTTTCTGGGCGAACATGCAACACTCCCAAACAACTTCGACAGTGCCGGTCGGAGACCCTTCCGGGTGACCCATGCCTCACCCAAAGGAAAACCACGGAAAACAACGTCGACTGGCTGAGGTTCTTCCAGACTGGATGTATTTCAGTACTCACAATACCCACCTCCAGCATAAGCACACAATCCATTTATATATATATTATATTGCATTATTGCCTATTGTAGCTATAGAATCTATACAATCAGGGTGGGTTGACCATGTTTGAAGGGTCAATCTAGGCAAGTATTCCATAATTACCTGGATTGTTGGCATTGGTCAACCTAATATCATGCGAAGCTTGAGATATGTCGTGATACAGCTGATGCCGAGTATACGTTTCACTTCAGGCTCCTGGGACCATGCCCGTGCAATCAATCTATTCTAGGCGTCTGTGAGAGAAACGTTTAGAAAACAAAGGCCAATGCATGAGAGGCCGAATGTACATCGTGGTGTTTCCAAGATTTCCATGAAACAACACTTGCCCTTCTCGAGGATAGTAGTCCCTCCGGGCTCCATACTGGGTTCTACGTCAGTCCACCTGGGAACTCCTTGTAGCTCCTCGGCTCCCTGTTGAATGGGGAATATGGATGCCCCTGGCTCCGAATCGCTCCCTCCTGAGCAAAAGCTAGAATGGCGTGTACTACAGCACATGGATTGTAGTGGGTTCCCTTCTCTGCACGAACATGACACGAGGAAAGAAGCGCTGTCAGACCATTCCACACGACGACTCCGCAGGGCGAAAGCCCGAAGCCCGAAGCCCACGCGCTCGTCCCAAAAAACGCCCGCGCCCAAAGCCAGGTCGGTGAAGAGATTATTCCCACTGGCCACCTGCACGCGTCGACGTCTTTAGGGGTGCATCGACGTCTTTGGGAGCCATGTGAATGGCTCCCAGTGATCAAGGGAAGGATATGACGGGATCACACCTGTAGTGAGTAGAATGGCACAACTCTCTGGTCTTCAATCACTTGTAGCAAATATTGCAGGATCATCCCAGATGAACTTATTTAAATCTATCACATGACTGTTCTCAAAGCAGTGAGAATAATTCCATCCCCTTCCAACCCCCAGCTATGAATGCGGCGTTCTGAACCATCCTCGTCTTTTCGGGAATTTGCCATGCCCAAATGCCTAATTAGGTGGCTTTTTTCCGCTCTCCCAAAGTGTTTTGTTGGCCTCAAACGTCCTGATCTGGGCCGCCAAGTGTGGCCCAACCCAGGACCGGCAAAGGACCTGAGCGCAGCGATCCGCGGGGGCCTTCTTCACTTTCCCTTTCTCATCCGCGGCGGCCATGAGCTTCCGCCAGCTCTCATGGGTTTCATCCTGAGGTGTGCCACGGGCGGCGCAGTCCACGGTCCACTGGAAGTGTCTGGCATTTGATCCATCGAGATTGGGGTGGCTTCAGGGGAGTGTCTGGCATTCACTGCGTACAGTGAGAAAGGGAGTGGCTTGACCTTCAACATCAAGTTACAATGCTGATGGGGTTGCAAACCACACAAACACAGAATCAGGCTTGAAGTCTCCCTGAACATCTGCCAATCTACAACTCCATGTGGGGAATTACAGCTGGTCATACCCACCAAGCCTCACTATACCATCCTGTCAAACAGCTCGAGCGACTCCTTCTGATCCTAGCATCCACAATCTTCCGAGCAAATGCTGCTCCCTGCGGCTTGCCACCAAAGCCAAACTTGTTCTCCTTCTTACCCTCCGCGGTCTTGTACCTCATCCAGTTGGAAATAAATGTTACACGCGAAACCAAAGAAACCAAAGGACCACTCAGCACAGCCTGGAACCTCGAAAGAGAACCATGGAGCCGACCTGGAAAAAAATCTGATCTTCTTTTAGGATGTTTAGGGCCTAATAGGGCTTCCGCACTTGGTTATTTTAAAAACGCCGAAGTATCTTAAAGTTGCAAGAAGCAAAGCACATCAGTCACAAGCAAGTCCTTACAAACGCTTCAAGCCTCCGATCTCCCTCCGCTCTCCCTCTGCCGTCTCTGGCGTCCGCGGCGCATGCGCAGCCAGTCCGTGAGAGCGGCGGTCATGCCGGGGAAGTGGGCATCCACGTCGCCCAGGTCGTGCATGTTCCTCGGGGAGGGAAGGGAAAACGCACGCGGAGGTCGAAGAGGTCGGTAAGGGAAGGGAGTCATGACAGGTCCAAAGTCCAGGACCTAAAGCCATTGACCTGTACCAGGACCTTCCGAGCCCGGTGGTTTTTGGACACCTCTTAAGATCTCTTAACCATATAAGAGTCTATTTATAGACACCTCTTGGAAGGTCCTGG